AAGTCATTTGGGCAAAATTCTGTGCAAGATTTCAGCAAAGCTCTTTCAAGAATCCAGGCAAATCCGGGCAGTTGCCTGGGGCCCCTTCCTATGGGGAAGCCTGGGCAGCCGTGGAGGGATTTAAAGAGATGACGTCTGCAGCAGGGGCAGGTGCCTGAAGTGCCGGGAGTCCCTGGGGGCTATTTACTAAGGGAGACGTATGAGGAGAATCCTCTCAAGGCAGACCCAGGCTTTGTGGAGCCTGAAACTTACACAATTTGGGGCCCTTGCTGCAGGGCCACTCCCTCTCTGTTCCTCCCAGTTCGACTGCCAACTGCAGGTCCTCTAACTTCTCTCCAAAATGACTGCTCTTGGTGTTGTCAGATACCAACATTTGAGGACTAGGAGAAGATTCCCAGGTCTCTCCTCTTCTGGTTGGTCCCAGGTGCTGAGACCAGGGTTGGCTGGTTAAAAGAGAAAGTCTGACAAACCAATGGCTGTCGATCTACCAGGAATGTGACAGTGGAAACAAAATAAAGTCCTCATTTATTCAAATGTGTTCCCATGTGACCACTTAGCCTAGTCCCAGTCCTGACTTCCTTTTCTGGATTCTCAAGGGAGATCATAGAATTTCAGTCCCTTATGGGTGGTGTGGAAAAAGGCAAGGGGTTCTATCTTATTCCCACCCCCCAGTCTGAGACGGATGACTTTGGAGCATCCCCTGGAAGCCAGAGATGGATGAGATAATAAACTGACAGCCAGGTGGGGTGACCAACTTGTCCTAGTTTTCCCAGGACTTACCCGGTTTTAAAACTGAAAGTCCCACATTCTGGGAACTCCCTCAGTCATGGGCCACCCCCGGACACCAGCCTGGTTACTCGCAGAGGGCACAACAGTCCCAGGCCAGGAGGAACACCCTGTCTATCCAGGGTGGTGAGAATTCTAGTCTCCTGCAAGGCAGTAGAAGGATTTGGGTGAAGCAGACCTTCAAATCTTGCTCCAGAGCAGACCCACATCCCCACCCCACCCCCAGCCAATTTCTCAGTCCCCTGACCCAACCCACAGTCCGTCTGCATAGTCCTTAGAACACTGAGTCTGAGATAGAAGGAAAAAAATCCAAGGAGCTGCTCCTTAAATAATGAGTGTGAATTTCAACCTGCAACAGAGGTGTTCAGAATATAAAGTTTATTTTTTTAAAGATCATTTATTATACATACATGTGGGGTACAACATTGATTTTCAATAACTGTGTAGAGTGTGTGGTGGTCAGATCAGGATAGTTAGCTTATTCATCATTACAGTACACAATCATTCTTGGTGTCCATTGACCAATTCCTCATTAGCCCCCCTTCTGCTCCCCTACCCTCCCCTTTTTCACCTCTAGTAACCACAATTCTTTTCTTTTCTAAAAGCTCAATTTTAAATTTTAATTAAAATTTTAATTTTAGGGCCGGCCC